GGATACCTTATTCCCTAGTTATCATGACCCTAGCTATCAGGCTCCCAGCACAGGAAAGAGCTGTTTGCAACAGCCTTCTATGATGCAGCGATGACATGATTGGACAAAGGAAGAGTTACTGATGTTGTCTTCCTGGACTTGTGCAAAGCCTTTATCATGGTCCCATATTACATCCTTATCTCTAGGAGAGGCCACCCTTCAAATCCGTATATTTGCTGTATAAAGAATTGGTTGAATAAGTACTGTGCCCATAACACAAGAAAGACAAAGAGCAGTTGGAATGGGTCTAGTGGAAGGCCATGAAAATGATCAAAGGGCTGGAGCACCTCTCCTATGCAGAAAGGCTGAGGGAGTTGGGCTTGTTTAGGTTGGAGAAGGGTCCCGAGTGTCCTCATTGCAGCCTTCCAGTACTTGAAGGGAGCTTATAAGCAGGGTGGGGACTGAATTTTTACATGGCCTCATAGTGTCAGGATGAGGGGAAATGGCCTTAAAGTAAAAGGAGAGGAAATTTAGGAACCTAACATCTAGCCTAAGCCATTCTGTGATTCCATGATCTAACAAGTTGTTTGTCAAGACTCATATCTCTAGTAATGGCTTTGAGAGAAGACTGCAACTGAAATTCCTTTTCTGTTCTCCTATGGCAATAGCTGCTCATGAAAACTTCCAGCACTGACTTGGAAGACTACAACTGTCACCATCCTTTACAACTATGTTACTCTTGGAAAGTACTTTCCACCTCAAACTCCAAAATGCGATTAGTCCCATCATCTGATCATGTCTCTGCAACCGTGCATCCTATCTGAAAGCCAATTTTATTTTAAAAAGATAATAAAAAAACAAACAAACAAACAAAAAACCACACATACACACACACACCAAAGAAACAGCAGAAGAAACAGGAGAAATAGGAGAGGAAATGGCCAAGAAAAACACGTTAAAACGAACCCAGCAGAATAATCAGCAAAGAAATGTAGCTAGTTTAGAGATTAAATATAGTGGTTAGTCTAAGATGAAAAACTTGTCCAACAGGAAACAGTCTTCCCCAGTGAGTGTCTCCTATCTTTTTCGTCAGCTCAGTGCCCCATAAGACAATTTCTTAAGAAGAAGCATGTCAGCTTCAGTCCTAGCAGATACAGCCACTGGGGTTAGCAGTTCAGCAGTCTAGCAATGTTCTAGCTTTATATCATCATAGGAAAATATATCAGCATGTAAGCTTGGATGAAGTCAGTAATTTACGTACTTGAACATAAACTCCAACCCACTCAAAATGATTTTATGTACATGGGTCCTCCTATTTAATTCCATGGAAACTACACCAGATACAAAGAACACAGTAACGCTATTTATTTCTCACTATTCTCAGCTACAAAACACTGTTTTTTAACATAGTCACCACCATAAGCTATGCATTTTCACCAGCATGAAACAAGAGCCTGCATGCTGTTATCAAAAAGATCTGCACCAGCAAAGATGACCCACTGTCACAATAACCACTGCTAAGATGCACCACCTGCTGCCCCACTGTGCTCACATCCACTCTTTGATCTCCACAAATTTTCAGCCAGCATTGATGAATGATCAGTGGGTCCTTTTTTTCCTGCATGTAAGAATTCAGTGACACACCTTTGCTTCATACGCACTTCCACATCAGATGCCATTTTGTCAGACTGCCCCCTATGCTGCCATCTGTCACATGGCAACAAAACATAACGGTGTTGGTGGGAAGGTTCAACCCTTACTGCCATCCCACCAACATCCACCTCTGATATAGTGGGCCAACATCATAAAACAGGAGACATTACTTTCAGAGCAGCCCTTCTATCTTGGGATAGCTCTTTTGTCAGCTATCCAGTTCTATTTTTATTTGCCTATTTTCACAAATTTATTGTCACAACATTCATGGAGTGTTTTGCCAGTGTTACAATGGTATTAGGATTTGTCCTGAAATATTAATCTAAGGGCTCAGGCCAGCAATCACTTCACTCTCAAAAACTCCACTGAAGTAAAAAAAAAAGACTCCCATTATACACTACTGACAGAACACAGAGGTAAAAATGAGTCTTCCAAAAAATAAAATGAACAGACCATGAATATATATCACAATGACTTCCCTAAAGTTGACAGCTTATGGGCGACTGCCCAATGCTCTGATTTTGAAAAGAGAGACTCTTGTATAAGGTAATGAAATAAGTGCCTTCAAGACGTATGCTGGGGCTAGGGATAGTAACAGAAAACCAACTTCTGCCTCATAAAAACATGCCAGCACAACAGAAATAAGGAAATCAGACAGCAGTCTTTGTCAGTATAATTGAAACTATCCACTGTTCCTGGATTTTATTACCTTCTGTATATTAAAATCTACAAAGAATATATGCTATTATTTTTGGAACAATCCTTGAAGTAAGTTGCCAGAAGAAAAAAGCACAATACAGCAATTGCGTGTTGTCTAATTCTTGTAATGTAAATAGGGAAATTTCGAATACATATACCTAGAGATTTGCAAATATAGGCTGCTAGATGTATCTATCATACCTGAAGGTTTCAAAAAGCCTTTACATTTTTAGAAATCAAGATAAGGTCATGATTTTAATACTATGAAAACTGAGGAATGTTATAAAAAAAAAAAAAAAACACAAAACAACCAATCAAAAAACCCCAATGCCTTTGTATCTACTTTAGAATGCTACTTTAAAATGGGATTCACCGCCCAATTAGGAAAAATCCATCAACAAAAACCAACCAACCAGCCAAAAACCCTATGAATACTTTTAATGCATGCAGAGATAAGAAAAAAAATTGTGAGTGTAGTGGTGGCCAATCATGAAGTAAAACCAATCTCATCACATTTTCCTTTGCAACAGCTACAAAACTTTGGAGACAACTTCTCTGTGCAATAGTATTTCACACAGAGAGAAAGGTTCATATGAAAAGCTTATGCAATAGCAAAACAGCATCTATTTCATCATTTTAATCACTGAGGACAATTAGCATCATTAGGTTAAAAAAAATTTCAAGTAACAAGAATGTTAGCAATACATACAGAATGTTAGTACAGTCACATCTCATCTAGTTCATGTGCCCTTAACTTTGGCTCTTTTAAGCAATTCTTAGCTTATGTATTTGATACAGCTGCATGTGAGCTAAAAGTAAAATTATACTATAGCCACCTGACATGGGTAAGGCAAAAAGCAGTGAAGATGCAGCAGAAGAAACCTGAAGGTGTGCTAAAAATCTCTGTATATAATGTATATATAGGTTAGTGCAGCCTCTACTGCAGCTTCTGCTCAGCTGTAGTTACCAAATAGAGCTCAGCAGTCAAGAAAGCAAAGAATATGGAAGAAAGGACAAATAAGAGGTCAGAAAGATAGAGAGAATACATCAACACTGTGTAGAAAAGCAAGTACAGAAAAATATTACAGGAATACTTAAAATACTGGATGTTTATTATGGTGAGGTGTTTCAATGAGATATCCATTACAAATCATTACACAACGTAAGAAATGGAAATGAAAAGATAAATTAGGAGCTTCTGCTTTCCATGTTCGTGAAAACTACTTCTAATGAAATTTAAAACCGGAATTAAAAATAAAACCTCTGCATAAAACAGTTACAATATGGAAAAATCATTACTATGAGAAGTTACGCTGACTGCAAAAATGAGTATGTTAGTATGGATAACAGAAGTATCCATTCTAACAGGCCTTAATGTTTAAAAATGAGAACCAAATGTTTCTGAGCAGAAGCCTATCTGAAGCTAAAGAGTTATGCTAACTACTGTGAGACTTTCCTACATCCTCTTACTCAGTTCCTGCATCTTCCTCAGGAGCAATCTCATGCTGGACGCTGCTGGTAATTGGATTCAGAAGATTCTGTTAGTATATGCTTGAGATGTACGTACTGTCTTGTAGAGACAAAATGCATTAAGAGAGGAAATGCTTAGGGATTGATTCAGAGCTTGCTATCTTCCTTAAGAGTAAACTGCTTCTACTGAGGCTGGAAGTTTTTTTATTCCCTAGCCATTATATATTTGGATGGCAGAGGCCCTGTTCCCCATAGAGCAATAGGATAAAAATTCATCTTTACTGGAAATCATCTGTAGGGAACATGAAGGTAAGAAAATATTTCAGCAACAAATAGTCACTGAAGCATGCTATTTTAACTGACTGGTTCTGACAGTGGGTTAATTTTCAGCAGTCATTTATGAGAATTATGTTGCTTATTGGTCAGTAATTTGACATATCCTAAGCACATACTGTCTTCCTTTCCACGTCTGTGAGAAATTCTACCAGCACCATGAGCAATATTCTTGATTGAAGAAAAATTATGACACATATGGCATCCATGTGTACACAGCAGTGGAATCATTAATACCAATGCTTTACTAAGAGTTGATAGTGATGGAACACTTGCACGTGCTGTTACTAAACAATGATGCAATCAAGAATGTACCAGTTCTCATGGGTGTTAGGCTTATAAACATTTGCGTAACAGGCACTTCTGTTTTTCTTACCGTGATTAATGCAAAGACAATGATAAGGGAAACTAAAGGCAGAATTTTCTGCTACTTCTGTTTTAGTATGAATATCCCTAGTGCCCTTATTTTGCTTAAAAGTATGCTTTGTTGAAATTTCTGTACACATATTAAATTAGCTTTAACACCTTAGCATGGCAAATAAGGGTTATTACACAGCAATAGAGCACTCTGGCATTCCATTTCAGTATAAAATGAATGTAATTACAGCAATTTTTGGCTTTGCCATTTTGCAGCAACAGAGACCTGCATCCCTTACAGAAACTAGTATATTTATTTTCCATGATGTTTTCTATGCTAATCTTTGTTTCCAGAGGTAAATTATCAAGCATTACAAAGTGCTATAAAGCATTATAAAGTACATCATCTGATGCTTCTTTAAAAAAAAAGAATATATTCTTCACATTAAAAGATAAACAAGTGTAATGTATACATCCAAATAAAATAAATTGGTAAATAGTATTCTTACCAAAGGCCTAAGTTCTGGATGAGTCAAAATATATCCATTGTTTGTAATTGCAAAAGCATATCCATGAATACCTAACTGTAAGAGTAAATGAGAAAGAAATACTAATTAGCATGGCCTACAGTAAATTCTTAAACAAAAAGCAGGCAGACATTCAGTTATCCAGGGCTTAAAGATGATATTCACAACAGTACCCACATAGTATTTCACTATAATATATGCAGAGCTTTGATCCCTGACATTTTTGCAAATGAGAACCTGCCGTTGTGATGAATTCAGCATATAGCACAACTTTAAAATGTCACAGACATATTTTGTTATCTAGGACACTCGCTTCTATGTACCTTGGAGTGAATTAGATATATATGCATACACAGCACATCCCATACAACGTGTATCAAATCAAAGGTATGCTGACACCTTCACACATTCCCTGGAGCAGCTAGGTTTGGTTTGCCTCGTTTGTTCAAGTGATGTTGTAAAAGAAGCACTCAAATCAATGATACTGGAAGTACAGTTACACTGATCAAGCAGTGACCTGCCATAGATGATATTTACATTTAGCTCTCTGTTAATTCAGATTCATTGGGAGACACAGAAGAAGGCATGGACCTATAAGAAATTAATCTAATTTACATGTTTGTACCAAGTGGAATTATGGGACATTATACGAGAGCAATGAAATGCTTTATGAAGCCTAACGGGATACATATTCAAATTTAAAACTGAACTTATTTAAATAATGCTACTACTCTTTTAACAATACGTCCATTACACAGCTGAGTGCACCTACTGAGTGCCCAAATATACCTGCAAATCATTCACGTGGTCATTCGAACATCCCTTCTTAGCATAACTGTGATGCTAATATAGTATCTTTCTGCAGCTTCAGTGTGTAACTGCCTTCTGCCATGCTGAGGGCATGCTTGCTATGCATCCTCACTCAGTGCTTTCCAATTGTGAAGCCAAATAATATGACATTCCATAGAGCTGTGAAACTGCTCAATGTGAATGTGATTCAGTTTCAATAGCCACATCTTTATGTAAGCATCTTGATTTGTTAAGGTATCAAAACAAAACAAAGGAAAACCTACAACCCAGAAGTATTTTGCTTTGGTGTTTGTTCCATGTTTCTCCCTGCTAACAAACAAACTTTTGAAAACATAATATTTCCCTTGTTCCCTATGAACAATCTGGTTGAGCAAAGAGAAAACTGTCTTTATTCAGCCATATGCCTTACTAAGATGTTTAAATTCAATTCAAGCTTTCTTTTTTATTTCCTCATACTTTAATCCATTCTTAAATGCTTTGCTGAAGTGGATCCTCGGGACTTTGTCTGGCATGAAGCAATGTGAGAAAGGTTGACAAGCTAGAATCATTTCTAAGAGATAAATAGGACAGCAACTCTATGGGCTTCTGTAATTTTCTGGGAATATATAATGGAGTATTACATTATGGCAAGGTCATAGAGAAAACATGCCAGGTAGATTTATGCCATATCTGTCTGTGAATGATTGTATATGGTCAACTGTATCTCCTATAGAGAAGATTGTTTCATAAATTAGCAGTTTTCCTAAAGCAATAAACTGCTATGAAAGTAATAGAAGGTGATATGTTCTTGGCATCTCTTCATGAGAAGGAGAACCAAAATAATAACAGTGGACATATTTTACCTATTATAGTATGACAAGTGAACTAGCTGTTGGCTAAATATCAGATCTTGAGTATAACTGCCTGTGTTGATAACTGCAGAATGATGTCCAAGCAATGGATGTCAGGTAACAAAACAAATGTGGGTGGTACACTTCACAGCATAAAAAGCATTTGCCAATTTGAAGTATACCAGCACAGCAAGGGTAGTATTTGTGTGTTGTGCAAATCATGAGACTGTATACTTTGCACATAAAATGCTTTGGTTTGAGAGAGAGTATTGCTTACAGCTGTGTTGCCACTTTTAAGCTTGAACTCTCTAAATGACAAACTGATTGAGAAACGAAAAAATTTTGTAACAGTAAAACGGCACATGAAAAGTAAATCCAACCCTACCTTATTAAGAAGAAACTCCCACTGACATCTGGGGAAGTTTAGTCTGGAAAATGACTGCTGAAAATAGCTCATTGTTATTATTCATCTTCCTCAGCATAAAATCCATCTCATCCAAGCTGAGAGAATTCCAGGTCAGCAGAATTCTATTTCCAACCAATCATTTTATATCCCTGTGTGAATTTTATTTCACATACTGCCTCTACAGGAATGGGTCCCAGGGGCGATTATGCTCTTGCAATTGCATGGTCTTTTTACTGTTCAGAAATGTTTATGGTATGTGAGACTGGAAGTTATAACTCAAATGGTTTCACTAACGTAATTGTATTGCATGATATTGATGCCTCTTGTAATAATCTTCTCTTGCCTTACATCCTGCAGTATAAAATGTACTTTCAAATAGTCTTGTATTTAGAAACAGGATTGTATATTACTTCCTCAGAAAGCTAAGTCTTTAAAAATATTATATCTTATGAATAAACCAAAAATTTTAATCTCCTTGCCTATCTTCTCCTTTTCTGAATCACTTTGAATAAATCTGCTGCAGTACCTGTCATTCAGGGCCTTCACTCTATACTTTGTGTATATTCAGAATATGTCCAAATCTTACAGAAGCTTTCTGAATAATATCTCTGTGATTTGGACATTATTATATAGCCATGAACAGCCAGGCTTTCACCAGTCATACCTTCAGTTACTACAACAGTGTTCATCCTTTTCATTGCAAATGAAACTTGTTCTACTCTTAGCTTATGGGAAGGTGACAACAAAGATTTTCATTGCTCCAGATTTAGCATATGCAATCCTTTTCTCTGCCACCTTCTAGTGATTCTGCATACACAAAAGTTAATTAACTCAGTGGTTCCTGTATTGAGACTGTACTGTTATTTATCCTGACCTGGAATGTCTCTCTTCACTAAATCCTGCTACTAAGGTGTCATCTGCTGCCTCTTCTTACACTCTGCAAATTACTTTCCAGTTAGGACAGCCTTTCTCTTCTGCATTTGCATAGTGTCTATCCCAGTGGGATGCAAGTTTCAAGAAATTATTGCCATACACCATATCAATATAATTTTCATTATTTTATGTTGTCTTTTTTTTACATAAAATTCTTATTTAATTTAAACCACCCAAATGTGGCATGTTGATCTATAAAATCATTTGCTAATTGCCAGTGCATTAAAATTAGAATGAATTTGAAATTTTTTTTTAGCTTTACTTTTTTTTTAGTTTTACTTTTTTTGTTGTTGTTTAAATAAGTGCTGCATGTTCTGCAAATTTGGTTTAAAAAATATTTAATGTAGAATTTTTGCTGACTTTGAAAAACTACAAAGCAGGAAAATATTTTATGAAGACTGTGTAGGAGGGAAAGAAACACTGGTCTGGTTGGGCATTTGCTGGAATGCATTGCTTGCCCTAATTTAGTTTGGTACAGGAAAGATACATGGAGGGGAATCCTAAAGGCAAGAGTTTTGCATTCTCTTAATAAAAAAATATTCAAATCTTCTGCACTGATTTCTTGTTATTTTGTGTGGTGTTCTGCTTATATTGGGTGGTTGAATGGCCTCATTTGTTTTATTAAAGATGACCTAGGGCACACTGAGATGTGCAGAAAATCAAAGATGAAGCTATACATTAATTTTGGCAGGAAAAATTGGCTATACAAAGGTAAAACTCCTGAGGAAAATGGGTGACACAATGGACCTAAGTCAGTATAAACATGGAATTGCCCTCTAGTTTTCATTTTGCATACATAAATGCCAAATAAATAATATTATATCACATATACTGAGTAAAAACGACATATCAACATTTGTGAATTACCTTGTATTTTGGAATAGCTTTTAGCAGTTCTTTAACTGGGACATCTGTGCCAACAACTCCCAGGAGAATCCCTTTTGATCTCTGAAAAGAACAATAAGATGTACTGAGAAACACAATGGTAATGAACATTCTCACCAGTAATTTAACATTGTAGCTACTCTAGAGAAGTGATTAGATATCAGAGACATCATTTGAAAGGTAGGCAAAGCAGAGGAGCAGAGGCTGGTATTGTTAATCCAATCAAGCAGTCATTTAGTCAATAATGGTTCTCCCTTCTACTATATCTGCAATTCAGACAGAAAAGGTAATCAAACTTTCAGTAGTTACTCAGTCCCTCTACAGAAAATTTTCCCATGTGAAATAGTTTCCAAATGAAAAAAATATAGCTGCAATGTGTTACTCCCTTCGTTCAAAATTTATCCTGCCACTCAGTAGGCAAAAGAGAAGGACTAAGCATAAAGTATGTATAATTTTCTTAAGTCTTAAATTAACAAAAATAAACATATACATATATGATATAAGTACCAGTAATTAAATTCTGGATCTACACAATAGAAGCCTACCAGTACAAAGAAGAAAAATATATGGATTATCTTCTGTAAGAGGATAACCTAAAAGAAAGAGAGTGCTGTTGCCTGAGTTTTTCTCTTAAACATAGGGTTTTATTATTTTATTATGGTGTCTAGGGTATACATATTTGGGATTATTTGTTCACATTTTTATGCCAACATGGGGTTAATAACTGTAGCCTAAATAAGAAGAAAAGAAAAAAAATTTATAGAGAAGGCTAAAACATTGTTAGGCTCCTAAAAGCAACTTCCCAGCAGCCACTCTATGATCACACAGCAGAAATAGTCTGAGTACTTACAGTCTCATTTTGCTTACTAAATACCGGCATGGCAACAGTTGTCATCAACACCAATCCCTGATCGTCAGCAAGCTATATTTAAAAAAGAAATATTATCTCTAAGAACCAAGGAATAATTGCAGGCGTGATTGCATTTTTCAATTACATTTTCTTCATTAAAATGAGAGAAGGCAATTTATCTAAATGATGCTTATCAATTTAGAATTGCAGTTAGTCCAGCCCAGCCCCACCCTGCTCCGTTTCAGCTATAGCAGCTCTGCCCACCCCACCATCTGGACTGGCAGGAAAGATGCTTCTTCTTCATTCCTACTGCAATTTCCCGTGAGAGGCACGAAGGGGCTGGAATGTGGATTGTGGAAGCAGCATGTGCAGTAGCAAAGCAGCTGGAGCTCTGTTCCACATCTTTCCCAGTGTCAGCTATGCCAAGATTGCCTTGGGTTGTTTTCTCCCAGCTAGGAACAAGAGGTCATGAGTTGCATGCACTTTGTTTCTGGTTCAGATTGAGATCTCATCAGCTAGCACTGCAGCAGAAAGGATGACAGCCAGTAAGGATCCCAAGAGCATCTTTGCTCCATCCGGTTTCAGTTTGCTGGACTAAGTGGTGGCATGAAGCATTAGCTGATGCTACGCTTCAGGTTGCAGCATATTTCTTCAATTTAGTAAGAAAACAGATCTCCTGACCTTGGTTCCATTCAAGAGAAACATGCTTATCATTGACCACAGCAGAGTGGCTTTGCTCAGACTATTGTCTCTTTGTGCTCTCTAGCTATATCTCTCACTGTATCTCTGCCATAAGGCAAGTGTTAGCTGTAGTGCTCAAGCAACAAGCACTGTTCTGTGTGTTTGTGAATCTCCATCATCTACACATGAAAGATAACGCAAGGAGGAAGTTGAGAGTTACTGTCAAACACTTTCTGCCCCTATAATTTTGGAAGACATTTAAAATTTAAAAAGCTTATCCTACTTTTAAAAGTATGACATATCCAGTTATAATCACGACTTTATTGTGATTTATCATTTCTAAGGACAATTAAGTTCTGCTAAATTGTATCTGTGTTTAGCCAAATTCGCAAGGAGAGACAATCTTACTGAAAAAATTTGGAGGTGAGAGTCATACCAATTGCAACAGTGATATTCTCCTACTGCTGCTCCATCAGTATCATATTTTCTGAACTCAGGCAGTATTTTAAAACACTTTTATTTTTTGAGAATTAGTGCAATTTTTTTTCCTAACAATACTTTCTTTTTTTTTTTTTTTCAACAATGAAAAAGCTATCAACTCTTTAAATTTTCAGAACACAAAGCCCATATATTGTTACAACAATACTTCATGAATCATGTTGCACATTAATAAATTAGACAAGGAAAATCTAGAATGTTACATGACTTGCAGCTTCCCATCTGTTTCAGGAGGGTTTCAGTTTTCCCAACTGAAGCATGGCACTATCTTATGGTGAGGAAGAATGTTTGAAGACATCACACAAACACAAATGAGTTTTAGGATCAAGGTTTACATCTAATAAGGAATCAACAGGGACATGAGGTGGAACCAGCTCATGATCATGTTCTATTATTTGTTTTGTTTTCCCTTTTAATAAATACCTAATTTCCAGTCCTGACACAAATCTTGATCTATTAAACAATAGTAAATTATTAAGAAACAAACAAAAGAAATACCAACCCAACAAAACACCGAGTCCAGGGGTTGTGCTAAAAGCAGCTGAACTAGCCCAAGAATGTACCCTCTTTGGCAAGAGTCGTACAGTTAAGCACACTGACATGATTTGTATGGAGAGGAGCCTGCTGTGGTAGTGATGTTCAATAGTCCTGAACACATGTACACCAGGAACTGAAAAAGCGTTCTGCTGATTATGAGGTGACATCTTGGAGCGTTTAGAGATTTTATATGATTGCCCAGGGTTGTTCATCTCTGACATTATGAATTTGTCAAGTATCATTATGGAATTATTTTACAGTGAGCCTACTTACTCTCAAGGGATTACTAGAAACAATTTATCAGATAGGATGCCAGCCAAAGGACTTGCCAGTAAAGTTTTAGGGTGTTTGAAATTCTTTAAATGGGGGAAAAAGAATAGTGTGGAGTTCCCGGGAAATTTTAAGAGAACTGATCGTGAACTCTCAAAAGCAACTATGGAAGCATGCACATAATTACTGCCCTGTAATTGTGATGTCTGCAAGTATCTACAATTGCTAATGCAATCATTTTTCATGGAAGCGCGACTTTATTTTTTGATGGGTTTTTACTTTTTCTTTTTTGGTAGATGGGCAGGTTGTTGGCTGCTTCTGTAAGAGGAGTCAGAAAATAACTGGATGATCGATGACTCGTGTTTGGGATCTTTCATCGAGTTACCAATTTATCCTGCAATATTCACTTCTGTTAGATTGTGAGGAGTTACCTCCAGGGGAGGACAACTTTATTCCCTGGGCAATGACATTTTGACAGAAGTACTTTGAAATAGTAGAATGGTAGCCACTGGGTATTATTGCTAGGACAATTAAAGCACGAGTTTGTGAATAAACTGCAAAGGAAGCCATGATCTAGGAATTCTGCATTCTTCTTTTTAAGTCTGACAATTTTTGACATACAACAGAACTCTGTGACAGCTTATGCAAATGTTCAAAAAGCTTAGTAATTCTGGGAAATAAACAAACAGAAACATTCTAATCACTGCTAAAACCTCCTAAACTGCTTATATTAATAACAATCATGTATTACTAATATTATCGGACTTACTAGGATTATTATTTTTTACTTTTTTGCATCATCAGCAAATACTTATAAGTTAATGTTTAAAGTAAAATATTAGATATCACAAATTCAGAATAACAATTTATAATCATAAAGTTTCTGAGTGGCTGTTCTTTTATTCAGAATTTCATATTATTGTGCGATAATTAGTAAGAGTAATACGCTCTTCAGTTACTTATTTACTACTTTTCTCCCCATCCCTATATGTAGATAACCCTTTTCATTTCCAAACTTATCTACTGGCCAATGTCATAGTCTCAGAAAACAATCATGTAGGGACATGCAAAAGAAAATACTGTAACCAAATATTTCTTACAGGAAACCTCTTAAGGTATGATTTTTTTAATCAATAAGCACAATGTGCCTACTTCTAAACAGGTAACAACTCATTTACACATAAGAACAGGGACTTTTAGTGTTGTGGGCAAATACACAGAACAGTATTCATTTGAATATAACGTAATAATCTCATCAGCTGGGTGGTTAAGAGTTACATACAGTAGAGAACCCTAGGAAATGACTCAAACTTGAAGCGACACATTTTTAATCTCAATTTCTAACTAGACTTTACCTTATCCAATCTCTTAGAACAAACTGCTACTAACAGTCACTGCTACTTCTATGAAGACATGCTTAATTTGGCATATTTCATCCTTCTGAGAATTGGAAACTGTTCTAAGCTTACATGGTTCACCCTTACCAACCTCAACAGATTCTAGAGGATGGTAGTGTTCACAGGAGTCAGGTAGGGTATGACAAATGTATATTTGCACAATACCGTGTTTATTATTTATAAGGTGTCTCCAGAAACAAGATGTTGCTGGTAGATTCATTTTGTTCACAAATAAGGATGAGTTTTGACCTAAATGCTGGAATGTCATCTGAATTAATATGCAGAGCCACCAATAACTCTGATTTCTTCCACCACATTGAGAATTCTTTTTTTTTTTTTATTCTCCTCTACTACTGTACTGTTTTTTCCAATGTTTAATAATGTTTTTTTTTACCCTTCATAGTATTAATAAATCAAGTTTCTGTTTCTTCAATTTGTAGTAAGTGTCTTAGTTATTCTTTACCTGGGCGATCATATTCATTAACACACCCAAGTTCTGGCTGACATCAAACCCCAGCTCTTAGTTACTCAGCAGCATATCAGTTACTACACTTTGATCACTTTCAAGTGGTTATTTTAATAACTCTAGAAGTGTGGAGTCATCTTCCTGCTTAATACTCTGATTACATGCAGCATGGCACTAAGTATACTTGTCCTTTCAAATGCCCCTTAATCTGTTAGATATTTATTTCCCACTGAATAGGAAGGAGTTTCTATTTTCCAAAGACCAATTTAGTATGTTTACACGGGCCTTACATATTACAAAACAACCCCCCAGGTTTACCTTATAACACAGGAATTCCACAGACATTTTCTTCAAGAAAGTTTTTCCATAATTTGCAAGCATGGAGGAAAAAAACATATGGAAAAATAGGCTGCCCCATAAAACAGAGTAGCTGTTTAGAGAACAAAAGAAGTCCCTAACGTTCAGTTCACTTTCTTCTTGCCATTTTCTGACTGTTGCACTTTGATTGAGACCCGCAGCTAATGAGTGCAGTAATCAACATCTCCCATTTAGTGTACAGGCAAGAGAAGCTACAGCAAGCTGCCCAGATTTTCAAAGAGAATGTTATTAGTGTTCTATTACTACTAACATCTAATGTATATTACTGTTATTTTGTATTTATATAACGAAGCCAGGCAGTGCTAGTGAGGAAGCAGTCACTGTCTCCTGAGACAGAAGAACAAGTATCAGATCCCATGTCCTTTTTTAGATATTATTTCAGATCCTTCAAAGAAAATATGCAGTACTGTTTCACTTTAGCTGGCTCTTAAGTGACATTTTAAAATGCTGTTAAATAAGAGTATTCTCTAATCGTTACTGCTAAATGAAAGATGCCAAATAAACAATATATAAATTAATTTTTTAATTACTTTGAAGGGGCAATTCTGCATTTTGTTGCTAATTTTTGAAATATGGTTAGCCACAGAAAGGAAACAAATTCTGAGTTTGTAAACTTGTAGTTGTTTGGTATCTTTCAGAGTTTAGATTTTGTATTTTAGATAACCACAGAGAATACCAGAGTTTCTAGAATTTGACACTGTATTAAAAAAAACAATTGTCCAAGAAAATACTTGATCTGAAACTTTAAAAAATCTATTTTTACAAAATCTATTATGTCTCTGTTTTACATTATGAAATCCTAGCAGGCCCAGCTCAGAAGTGAACTTTCATAATGCTAATTCTTT